AATTGGTAACTTGTTGTTCATATATGTCAGCTAGAAGTGTTTAAAAAGTAGACATAAAATACCACCAAGGTCAGAGGCTTGGGCATCTTTGGAGCTCTGGGTTATAGATCAGTTTAGGCTAGCTGTATTGTTAGACTTGACTGTTGCACAAAACTGTCTGCAAGATGCAGTCACTAAATTTTAAGAGAAAATAACTGATGTCATGGCTCACACTGGAGTCCTTACTTATGACTAATTCAGATAAAGCTTTCCAATGCTTTTTGGTTTTTTTTTTTCTTTTTCTTTTTTTTTCCCAGGCCATTAAGGATTAATTCACAAGCAGGCTTAGGGAACAGGGCACAGTAAGCCAAGAGATTTGACTGTTGGCAGTGACAGCTGTGTCAGAAACTAGTAGTACTGCTTGCTAGCCAGCTTGGAGATCTGGGTGAACCACGTTAAAGAACATTCTGGTTTTCAGCGTAAGGAAATATCTACTCCAATTACTGCATTCTTGTGTTACCCGCCCCTCGCAGAAAACTTGTAGGCAGTTGCACTGAGCTGTTTAAAGCCTTGGGGATGTCTTAGCTTCAAGTGACTCATGGTTTAGGAAAAATGCTGTGAGAAGAATGACTAGGCAAAATGAAGATGACAAATGCTTGCTTTAATGCTATGCCTCTATTATTTGGAGGGAGAGGTCACACCTATCAAATAGGACATACTATTTAGAACATGGAGGACGTAATGTGAACTTCTTATTTTACAGAAGACACAAGATGCAGACTCTTCACCATAATGCATACAATCTAAAGCCTTAACCAAGCTTCCACACTGTTAGAAGTGGATTAGATTTAAACTTGAAACCACCTAACACTGGCCTTTCATATGAAAAATCTTTTGGCTTTCCCTCTGCCCACCCCACCACTTTCCTGCAAAATTTCCATGCCCGTGAGAAGGTGGTGACCCCCTCCCTTTACCCAGGAGAACAGCGCAGTGCAGAAGTCTGAGTAAAATCAGTCTCTCTACCAGTGGACTCTAATTCTGTCCTAAAGGAATCATAAAACACAGTAATGGCAATATTGGCTCAGTGATGAAATTCACAGCATCAGCACCTACGACATATAGCCGCAGACCTCCAAATTTATTTGGCATTTACCAGGAAAAGCTACTCAATTACTATTCATGCATGTTGCATTTGAGACAGTGATCTAAAGATTTAAGGAAAGTAGAAATTACGCTTTGCTTTGCTGCCACAATGTTTTGGCATTTGAAATGCTGACTATCTTGATTTAAATGTCATCTGCAACGTGGGTCAAGTGTGAAGAAAAGATACATCTAGGAACCACTTTATGACTTGCGGGCCTCTATTCCTGATATTGCCTGGTGGCAGATGAAAAGCTGAGCTCCCAAAGGTATTAAGAGTAGCCACTTGTTTGCAAAAGGAGATTAACACCCACTGTTAGTCTTCTTGTTCCTCTAAGTTCATTTGAAATTGTAACAATTCGATCCAAATTAATCAGTGAAGCAGAGAAAAAAATGCCATCAACTTCAAGTGAGGGTACACAGCAAAGATATACTTCGAGACTCTCCAGGGAAAGGGAACATTTCACTAGTCCTCCCTAATGCACTGCCTAACAAAATTTTGCATGCTTTTCTTCTCAAAATAGGCTTCTGGAGACCACGAGGCACTGAACAGGAAGAGTGGCCCAACCTTCATACCAGCCGAGAAAGGGAAGCTGCGAGAGCTCTGAGTGCACCGGCTACACATCCAGAAGCTGAAATGCAGTAACTACCAAAATGTTTCACGGACATGAAATGTGCTGTGGGCTGCTTGAATCCTCCTATCTTTCGTAAAAGATATCATAAGAACCATACCTTCAACAACACACTGTAATATCTGATGCTAGCTGGAAATCTGAAATGAAAACCTATTAACTACTTGTTACATCTGCGCAAACTCACTGACTTCAATTTCTTTCATTTTTCTGACTTCTCTGAAGCTGGCTGGATAGCACTACAAGCAGAATCTGGTTTATTTTCTTTAAATATTTAAACTAATTTCCATTCTGGCCTTCAAAGCTCCCCAAGGTGCAATTTGATACGTTAAAAAAAAAAAAAAAGCATCAGCTTTTTTCTTTATTGCTTATTCATGTTTCCCACTTTGCAGTAATTCAGCACGGTAAACAAACAGCCTCTCTCTTATGTGCTGGTTTGAGTTCCAATTTTGGCAGTTTTGTAAACTAAAGTTTTACACTCCCACTGTAGTTAGGATAACTTCATTCCCTAATGGATACTTAACACATCTAATTACTCTATTTTTGAGCTGCAAGTGCTGTTGAAAAATGTCTCTGCTCTTTCATTCCAGGAGCTTCCAGCTGCAATGTTTTCTACTGAATAAAACATTTTCAGTGACTTTGCCCATAAATAATACAGCACAAAGACCAATGTAGTCCCAACTGTACATAATAACCTCAGAATTCCACTGAGGGTTTTCGGATGACATCATAATAAACTGCAAGAAAAAGCTGAAGATGTATTAAATTATAGTTTGGGTATATTTTATTCTTTTTTACACATAATAAGAAAGCTCAGACATTTGTCACAGTAATTTGAACATTTTTCTGGACTACTTCAAAACTAGAAAGGACATAATTTCAAAGCAGGATGTAGAGTCATATTTCATATTTGTAAGGACAAACTGAATGACTGAATATATCATTATTATTTATTTTGTATGTACAAATTCCCACGTTGTTTCTTCACACTCCTTAGTCAAATGTAAGGCTTTCTAAACTTAAAAAAAAAAAAAAAAATCAACCTCCCTTAAAACCTTAAGACCAATGTTGACAAACATTGACGTGGAATATCATTTTACTCCCCCATCAGTTGTGAAGGGATTATAATTGGGACCCCCCAGTCAAAGAGCTGGGTTGTGTCAAAATATCCCTGCAGCACTCCATGATCTCAAAGTCTGTTATTTAAATCTCAAAAGAAAATAACTCATTTTAACTGGTCATACAACTGTGACAGGGGAATGATTTGCTTAGGTGATTTTAGTCTGTTTTACATGTCTCTGTCTTGGAGTGCTTAGCCCTCTAATAGATGAAAGTGTTGAGGTGGTTAGCCCAGAAAGGAAGGATAACAACCATAGACACTTCATGTCCAGTTGGGAACAAACAAGGACTTGTCATGCCTGGGCATTTTGGGCCATGGGACACCAACTCCTCCTCCCCTTACCCAAGCCCAAGGAGCAGGGAGAAAGGGTTTATGAAGTGCAAGAGGATGCTCCTAATGGGGAGAGTCAGGAGATAACCATGCACCCAAAGTGAGAGGCTGCTTCTGCTCTTGGGTCTGAGCTCTGGTTTCCCATTGCAAATAAAACTTGGCTGCTATTGCAGACTTTTATCTGACTATGTGTGTGGAAAATCCTCACCTGGAGGATAAGTGCTGCAGTGAGACTGAGGTGATCGGCTAGCACGCAGTGACACTTGAACCTAACCTGCGAATTCACGGGAGGCCAAGGCTCCCCTGCCCAGTCTACATGAGTGGCTCACTGTCTCAGGGGGCATTTCAAAGAGATTTGGAAAGCAGCTGAACCAGAGGGAGCAAGATCTCAGGTAACAATACACAGAAGACAGGGAATCAACAAATGGAGTGAGAAAACTGAATTTTCCCTAAGGTCAGCATTGAGCCTGACTCGAAGGTCAGGTTCTTACCTTTCTGGAGGAAGAAATACAGCAGAACGTGCCCCTCTTTTCTTTAAAGCCACTCTGTCATTTTCACAAAGAAGGATTTATGGGAATTGCTAACTTTGTCACTCTCACAGACTTTCATGGACTTGTAGCCTCAAGATTAAAAACTTGCTATGGAAAAACGGCCAGCTGCCCCTTGGAGTGCTTGGCTAGCTAATGCTTCACTGTATTTTCTAGTCTCTGCTTTGACCCAAGCAGAAAGATTTGGGGGGTGGGGGAGGTCACTGGAGCAGGTGGGACTGAGGATAACTCAGCATGCAACTTCCTAAAGGAGAGGAGACTGGAGAACAGAAGGGCAGAGTGAGAGGGTAGGAGACCTAGAAAGGTTCCTGTGGTATGGAGAGATAAGATGACCTGGAAAAAAAGGATTGGAAGGTGTGACAGAAAAAGAGTTCACCATAAAAGGAACAGGAGAAGACAAGGACGTTCACGTTAGGGAGGCATGAAGCAAAAGAAGCAATAGACAGAAAAAAGAGAACAATGTGATCTGTTAATGTAGTAACAGAGCACCTGGGAGCAGAAGCAGCAAAGATGACCAGTACGGGAATTTTTATTGTTCGTTGCTATTAACACATCTTTGCTTGGCAAGAAAAGGTGAATTCAGCTTTGAGCTCCCCATACATTGAAGAAGCATTGGGCTCCTACTGATCAAAGTGATAGAGCACAAGTACTGTCGGATGCATTTGAATGGAAAGCATAGCCTGAAAACACACAGAAACATTTTATACGTTCGCAATTCAAATACCCATACACTGGTTATCTTAAACTCAATTGCTTCTTTCAAAATATGTATGTGTGCATACATATGTATGTATATGTGCCTGTGAACACTATCTGCCAGAGGCCAACAATTCTGATCCTAAAGATCCTAAAGTGTCTCCAGGGAGACTGGAAATCTATGGTATATTGTTATTTTTCTAGTTTCCAAACTACTTTGCAGGATGATAAATATTTCTCCCTTTTCTCACACTTAAGTAGAACACTCATACCCCTCTACATGTGTATATATGTTCACCCTCCTTTCCCTCAATTCGTTCTTTATCAACTTACTGGATGGAGTTCTCAATGCGTGTGATGGTGAGGAAAGCTGCTAGGTTTGCCGTGTAGGAGGAGATGACAATCAAAGCAAAAAGCCACCAAGCCCCCATCATCAGTCGGGTTGCCAGGGTTGTGTACGGAACCTCTCCTCCTGTGGGGAAGAAGGAAAAGCAGGATTTTTCATTTAGCAGAAGGAAACCCAGACCCTCATTGCTCATACATTGCTCAGGAGAACTAGTCCCCAAGGTCAGCAAGTTTCCACTAAAGCAGGTTGCTTCAGTAAACTGAGGAGGACTTGGAGTCACACGTTCTTTGCAAAGAAAAGTAGTGAAGGAAGCCCACGCTGTCAGCCGTCATGACTGTATTTAATCTCTTTTGCTATTGTGCCTTTAATTGCAATTCATCTGCCAGCCCTGTCCAGTAATGGAAATAGACTTTGAGATCTCAGAACAAAAAGAGCAAAAGTAAATTCTTACAATGTTCTTTCCTTAGAGATCTTATCTACAATCCTTAATTAAGTTTTTCATGCATTCTTAAGAACATAAAGTTAAAAAAACCTCATCAAAACACAATTATTTTTCACATTTCTGTAGGCAGGCAGATGCTCATGAGAACCGTATGTATGTGTACAAGTTGCTGCAAGTGAACGTGGATGTACAAAAAAACCCACCCCACAAACAACCCACATGTACTGAAGAAGATTGCAAAATTGTTTTGTATTCCCATAGTTGCTTTCCTTTAATATTCAACTGCCATGTAAACAAAACATTAGCAGCGACTAAACCTGCCAGGATCTGAGCTGCACATCACCGCTTGTGTGAACAGAGCCTGGTTTAGGAAGCGGTGGAAAGCGTTATTTTTTATTCAAATAGCTGCCACCCAAAAGACACTAGTTTGGAGTCTTTGAAAGAACTCTTTCAGTTGAAAAACATACGAACCACAGACTTTTAGATAAAGGAAAAATTAATTGTTTTAAAAATACCCATTTTGTCCTCAGTACAAGTTTTGTCACAGCTACAAGTAACTAAGGGGGACAGGTGAATGCAGCAACCACCCACAGTCAACAGCTCGAGATGTTCACCCTTTTCCACTCCCCCTATACTCAGCAATTTGAAAAGTTGTCATTATTTTTGAGGTAGCTTTCTCATATGCAAAAATCTAATGATAGTACAATAGCTGGGATTTTCAAAAGGAAAAGCAGTTTGTTACAGATTCAATCATCTGTAAGTATTTCATGCTGGATCTTCACTGACGTAAAAACTCCTTCACATTTTCCCAGCAAGTAGGTTTAATAGGAATAAAAATTACAATTATTCTCATGCCAAATACAAGTAATATTCAATTATGTACACAAACTCGATATTTAATCAATGCCTGAATGTGAAGGATCACCTTACTGTTTTGTTCAAAGTTTATCCTACCTATACAAAGCATTGGGAACTCTGCATCACCAAGCTTTTTTCGTGCTTCAGTGATGTGGAGTTGTACCATATGTGAAATACTAACTGACTCCATTCATTTATATTTTTGGTATATAAGTATTGAAATCCTTTGCCTTTTAAGAATCCAGTATCGAAAGACAAAATCTATATTTGACCCGCACAGTTGGAAATAAATTTCCTTTTATTTTCAAGATGCCATGTAATTATCTGAAATAAGAATCTACTGATCAGATTGGGAGATATTATTCCAATATAAGGACTTTAAAAGGTGAACATTAACTTCAATATCTGAAGATTTGGTTTTCTCTCCCACATAAATTTTAAATGATTTTTAATAGAATATCTCTACTTTACAAGTTTTTGCAATCTCTTTGGAATATTTAATTTTAAAATGATTTTTAATAAAATGAAAAAAGCAGACAGCTATATCAATTTATCAGAACAGGCCTTTTAACTTTCAGGTGCCAATCCCTCCAGATAATCTTCATATTGAATTAAAATGGATAGAGAGATAGAGAAGAAGCCAATGAACTCATGGACATCCTTGCATTTTCATTTTTCAGCTTAATGAGTAAAACTTTAAGTTTTCACATCTTTTTTATTGAAATGAAATCTCAGAAAGGAGAGGACCACTGAAAGTCACACACCTGCCTTCTGGTTTTCAAGAAAGGATGCTGTGCAACACATGACCATGAAAGCCATCATAGACCCCTCAGCCACAGCGTTCCCCTACTGTTCATATGGTGCATTTTTCCCATATGTCCGTATGGTTGTTCCCACTGTTCACCCGTTACTTTTCTTTTTTAACGCCCATGTTAACAATAGACTTGAAAAAACTGTGAGTGCCGGTCATCCCCAGTGCTTTTACTTCACCCAGGTGTTTGTGAAGTCTCGTTCCATTCACAGCTATACCTTGTATACCTGCAGTCAATAAATGAAGCCTGAGGACAAAGCTTGCATCCAAGTACACGTGCAAGAAACATATCAAAATAATTCATCGCTTCTGCCCCTATTCTAAAATCTTTGCACTAATGTTTCTTAAACCGCCATTTCTAGAGCAGGACTGACACTGCAACTGCATAGGGACATGATTTTTAAGCAGTGCAGACAGTACAGCACCTCTCCCAGTGAAAGAAAGAAAGAAACAAAAATCAAAGGAGATCTTTTACTGCCATAGTATCATTTCTTTGGCATCTATTAGGAGATTTAATGTGATACAGTCTTGTTCTATTGTAGTGTTTGCTAAAACACTTCCCGCACCGTGACAGCTCACCTTAAGAAACTTCTTCACTCCCTTCCCCCAATTTTGTTTCTAGGGATAAAACTTCCCAGAGTTTTCTTTCAGTCCAAATTTACATGTTTTCTCAGTGCAGAAAAGTACCAGGAGAGCAACAAGCATTGGTTTTCTATTAACATTACCATGAAAGGGAGCTACAGACCGAACAGCCACTGTTGTCGACTATAAATTAGTATGCAGAAGGGACATGCATGTAAACCTCCCAGGGCTCTGCTTCCCGATATCTAGTATGAGTTTCAGGTGCATGGACATCTTTATGGTTGACAGCATGTTCTAGTTACGAGGGATTTTGCATAGGACACACAGCGCAAGGGAGGAGGTAGCCAAGAAGATAAAACAAGTTTTTCTCTGATGTTGTCTTTCGTATCATACCAGCAAAGCTTAATAACTCCTAATGGCAAAGGGTACCACCTGGTGCCAGGCAAACACATGCTGGTGACCGGAATAAAATCTATCACACCTCATTTCTATAGCAAAGTTCATCAATGGGAGTTAACATGCTGGTTGTGGTTACACCAAAACCACTACTGCGTGGTAGTCTCCTAAGCAACACGTAAAAAAACTGAGCTCCGCTTATGAAACAAATGGATATCAAAGAAGACAATCAGCAGTCCTGGAGCTGCTTTGTCATCTTAAGAGACAGACATCATATGTATACAGAGGCTGTATTATTCTTTAGACTTGGTCCTTCCAATACACTGGCAGAGTGGTGTAATGCGGCACAAAATGCCCTTACCTGTAGATCACCTATGTTGTGGCTACAACTCCTAGTATAATTCAGCTGACACTTTTGATGTGTACTAAAAATCATTTAAAAATCTAATCTGCCTTTATAATTTTCAGATTGCATGTTCAGGAAGGAAAAGATATTTTCCAGAGCAAAAAGCAATCTTATTGGGAGTTTTCTGAAAGAGCTGAATTACTGTGGAAGTGACAGTGAAAGAAATTACTTTTAGTCCTCCCACTCTCATCTAATGCAGCTCTCCTTCATCAATCCTAGACCAGTTTAATGCTGGCCCACTTCAGATGACAGGCTTAGACTGCAACTTATCTTATGAATTTTTGTTTATTCCCATTTCTTTCCAAGTGCTTCAAGCTAAATATCAGAGGGTAAGAAAAATAACGCATTGTCTTGACAATGCAAACAATATAACATATAATTATGACAGACCTAATTATGAGGAAAACCCAACTTTAGAAGATAAAATGTGAACCTGTACACAATATATGCAATTTTTGTTACTAGTCACCCAGGCAGTAAACGTGCAAGATAAGTTCTCTCTCTGATTTAATATCGATTTAACAACTTCACTGGGAATGCACAATATTTATAAATAAAATACATTTGCTTAACAGCTCAAAAATACTTTTTTTATGATTCCTAAAGCAAATAGTTTGGCAGCATAGAGCCCCAAATGTTGAGAAAACTTGGAATTGAGTAGTGAGAACAATAATGCCTTTTGAAGATTAATTATTGAAATGTACTTTATAAACAACTACAGGCACAGAGAAGAGCCATAAACCACCATTATTTCAAGTCCTGAATTTGATAGCTCTACTAAATGACGTTTCTGGGGGGAGTTGAGAGCTGGACTGGCAGTCTGCTGCAGCTACTCCATATGTGAAGAGACAGACTCAGATGAGAAGGCTCTGCCCTTCTACAGGAAGGACACTACAGGGATCATGGCTTGCAATTTCCATTTGTGATAACCACAGCTGCCAGGGAAATCCCAAATACTACATTCTTATTATAGACAAGACTCAATTTGTCACTAATGCTTACCATCAAGGCTACTCTACAATCCTCACTTCAAGAATGTATCTTAGTAGCCAATAGCTTTGTCAAATTTCAATCATTTAAGCTGCAATACTCTCTGCTAGAGCTCTGCAGTGAGCTGGATTTCTGCATAAGGATTTTTAGCCATTTTTTTTTCCCAGATAATTTTGAAAACCATGAATAAGATGTTAATTGTGATTGTTTTGCTGAGGAACTCTAATACTATCAAACTTGAAAGCAAGGATTTTGATTGTGTTTGAAAAGGAAGGTGAAGAAATAATAGGGTGGGTTATCTGGGGACAGATTTTGGCTTTGTTTTTTCTCGCAAAAATTCTGTCCACATTCAGTGAATTATTGGCCTTTGGAAAAAAACACAAAGGACCAGGAGTTGGCTGCAGTTTAGCCTTTAGCTTGTTAGAACAGTCACATCAATTATGCTGTGCATCTGCAATTTCCATTTGCACAAATATAAAGTGTGGAGTTCTGTTGCAAACAGTTTAGATCAATGTATGTCTTACGTTTTCTTTGTGAAAGGGACATTTAATAGAGAGTGGGTGTAAAGGGAATAGTTTGTATTAACAAAGTGGCAAAGGCATTTTATATTTCAGCTATTTTTGCCATAAGAAACAAAACCT